GCGAAGTATCTCCAGTCACCGCGTTCGCGCCTTGGAACCCACGTCACTGTGGTGGTAGCAGACGAATAGGAAGCACCCATGGCGATGGAGAGACCAAGTTGGCACAGAGAGAAATGACTGGCGTTCTTTGTGGAGCTCGGCCAAAATGGCTTAGGCGGTTACAAAGCCGAAGTAGAAGAAGAATATGCAAATGATAAATGACGGAGTTGGGGGACCATTTTCTTGGATGCGCCAGGAGGAACCAGCAAAATATTCCTTATCAGATGGATTCTGGCAACGGTTCGATCAAAAAATTACATTACCTTAGCTATCGCTTCGTCTGAAATTGCTGCGACATTATTACTAGGTGGAAACATTGCCAATTCAGCTCTTTAGCTGCCATTGAACATATAAATCATCGAAACTCCCACGTGCAATATTTCCAGAGCATCCGGTAGGAAAAAAGTTTACCAAAAAATTAAATTCATTGTTTGAGATGAGTGCACCATGGCACATAAAAAATCGTTTGAGGCATTTGATCCATTGTTGCGGGAATTGCGTGGAAACGTTCAGCTATTCGGGATATTGCTCGCAGCAGATTTTACGAAAACATTGCCTGTAGTTTCTCGATTAACACGAGAGATAAATGCTTGCCTGAAATAGTCAACATGCGACAAGACCAACATACATACACTGCAGCTGAAGTATTTGCTCGACAATAACTGGACATTGGGAACGCAAAGCTGCCAGTCAATGAGAGATTAAGACGAATTTTATGGTCTGATAATTTTTGTAAATTAGAAACATCGAAAGGAGAACTGATCGAAAGATTGTTTCTTTATTAAGAAAATTAATTTTAGGAATCACGATTGGCTCAGTGAACGGGGTATTCTTGCTGCGAAGAATAAGGAGGTCTATCAACTAAATAATAGTGGTATTGACAACAGTCGTTGCTTGAGCTGATCAGCTCTTTTACTAGACGGCCAGACCACTTGCTCACTGTGGTGAATACCGCTAATGTTATTCAATCCAGCATTCAACGTGAGGAAATAGCATATACGTCGATAAACACCGTTGTGGAAAAAGACCATCCAACGAAATTTTTGAACTCGATTAATCTTCCAGCGAGACCTGACATACTGAAATTAAAAATAGGTTTGACAGTTATCATGTTGCGGAATATTAATCAGCGAAAACTCTTCAACGGAATGCGACTCGCAGTTAAAAAATTGATGAAGGACGTAATGTAAGAAAAGATTTTAACGTGGCCCTTCAAAGGTGAACAATTCCCATGATTCCATTTAATGATGATGATTCAATTTAAAAGATTTGAATTCCCAATTCGATTGACATTCGGAAGCACAATCAATAATGCTCCAGGTCGAACTTTGGAAAAGTATGGTTTAGACTTAGATGCGGATGGCTTCTCAGATGTTGCGTGTTCCTGTGTCGGCAAACCAGATATCCTTGATATCTATGCAGAGAATGGAAAAATAACAAATATTGTGTGCACACGAGTACTTATTACATAACCAAAAACATATGAAACGTATGCTTTGTTTCGTTAATAATTTATCGTCCATATAACAGAAATATGCCACAGCAAAGCGTGGCAGGGTACAGCTAGTTTCTTATATTATATCTGTACGTAATACATTCAGCAAATTATTTGTCTCAACATATACATATAAAAGTATAGCCATCTTTTATTTGGCGTTTATGGAATTCACCCATTGGTACAAGCATTTATTTTTGGAGTAGATAACAGCACCTCCCTGAGTGGGTTAGTATGGCTTCGTAGTCTCAGGTTATAAGATGTAGCATATTTCTTAATTTCTTCTTTAATAGTGACAATTTTAAGATCCCCATGCAGTTGGTCGTTAGTAATAAATTGAAGTGCGTTAACAATCATTCGAAGAGTTTTCGATTGGAATCTTTGTAGTATTTCAATAATTGTGTCGGCTTTTACATTATCACTTTTAGCCCACTCACTGTTCTCCTTTGGTATGGCAGAGTTTAGAAGGATGGGTCTTTTTAGTTTACCCGCTGCTTTCCAAAGGGAGTAGTCGGTTACTGCGGAAGCCACAAGATTGCTCATATAGCGTGTAATTTGAGCGTTACGCTCGTGGCTTAATCTTTTTAAGTTTTTGAGTAAGTTTATTTAACATATTTTTGTCTTGTGGATGACGAGTGTGCTGCCATGTTTTTCTTGCGAGTCGGTTTTTCTTTTAGCTTGACAGTTACTTCCGACGAGATTGGGGTACGATTTTTATTGTGTAGGGGTGGCGTCGAGTTCCAAGCAGCTTGTTGCAGGCAGTTGTCAAAGTGTTCAACTGCTTCAGTTAGATCCTCATTAGTTTTAAGAGCTACTTTCAAGTCAAGAGTAGAAGAAACTTTGCTTCATAAAGTGTTCCAATCTGTTTTGCGGTTGTGTAGCGGACAATGTTTAGGTTTGTCAAGAAAATTGTTATCAAGTGAAACAAGTACGGGCGAAGGGTCAGAGGACAATTCAAAGCACGAATTGCATTATACTGCACTAGGTGCTATGCCTTTGGCGACGCAAAAATCAATTAGATCCGGGATTTCGTTTCTATCAGTTAGCTAGTAAGTGGGTGCTCCAGATGCACCACATTGGTCCAATTGGTCCATTCATCCACTTGACGTTTCTCACTGTCGAATATTCTACGTCATTCC